GGCACTAAACTAACCTAGTCACTAAACCATTTAAACAGACAATTATTTTAAAAATTTTGACAACAATTCAAATAAATCAGTTAATTTACTTTATTACCATTTAAGAGTTCAATAAATGCACAATAATGATGTGAATTTTATATCAGCATATATTTTATCATTATTTTGATAATTGGTTTGAGATTAAACTACATTACATTAATTTTTAAATTAAGTTAAATATTTTAATTATAATTATTTTCAATTTTACAATAAATAAGTTTACTTAATATTTATATTACCGTAAATATAAGTTAATATTACATGTATTTCAATATATGAATATAACAAATAAATTTAAATTAAATTAATTTTAAATGTTTTTAAATATTGAATAATTTGTAGTATATTGAGTTTACAAAGACATAATAAAAATTCAAACCTATAAGAATAGTTGACGTATGCAAGTACCGGTAACTGGAATTTAAGAATACAGTAATACAGTACGAAACTTGTGGAATTATTTTTTAATTTGTCCATTTCATATTAAATTTATAATTTGCACGATTCGTTAGAAATACTCGAAATCGATATTTATAGTAAAAATAATTTAATTTAAAGAAAATTTTTATTTTCAATTTAAAATGCAGTAACATAGAGTAACTTACAACAGTGATAGCTAATTAATAAGTATTAAATTCATTAATGAAATTAATTTTTAAAAACTGTAGACTATGAATAACTTTTGTTCAAAATTATAACATGAAAGTAATAAAGATTCACAAAACAAAGTATCAAATGTATTATGTTATCAATTATATTATGCATAAAATACATTCATTGTAAACTGAGTTAGAAAATTATTTCCAATTGTTTTACCGAATGATTTTGTTACTAATTTATATGTCTGCAAATATCGCTCTAGGATTCAGCAAAAATTTAATATATTGGGAATATAATTCAAATTTTCAAAAAATATTTGTTTAATATGATTATATAAGCTAGGTGTATTATAAAAAAGATTTTTAAAACTTTATATTCCAATAGCAATCACATGAGACAAGCATAAGGTTTTTGTTTATAATGAATGAGCAATTCTAATAATTCAAACTTTTGAAAATTCTTTAAAACCTTTCAAATAATTCTCTTAAATTTTTAATAAGATTTGCAACTATATAATAAGCTTTAAAATTGTCAATTTTTAATCATCTAATGTTTAGCAAATACTGTATAACTTTATAATCTGTTTTCTTTCAATAATCTTTTCATAAATAATAATATTAAATTATGTAATTGAAATTATACTGTATAAATTAATTGTTTTATCAAAAATGTAATTAAAATATTAAGTTATCGGTTACAATCCGTAACAGTAATACAGGTATAAATATTTTGTAAAAGCATTTAAATGTTAGTAATATTTAAGGGAATAGCTTAGGACAAGTATTGTCTCCATGCAATGTCTATAAACTTAACAATAATATCGATTTTGTATAGCATTGCCGCATAAAAAATAAGTTAATAGAAATACATAATCTCTGATATAAATTTTTCTTAAAGAAATATAGTTGAGAGCGCCGGCAGTATTGTGCATTGAAATTATATAAATCATTTCTTATAAACATTTTAAAGAATTAATGGTTATTTGTCGGTACCAATCAACTCAATTACAATACCATATATAACACCGCAAAACACAAATTAATACAAGACATGGGACTGAGTTAAGAGTCCTCTCTAGTCGTCATCCTTGTCCTTTTTGGGACTCTCCTCGAAATACATTAAATCCTAAAATGAAAAATTTTTATTAGGATTTTTGTTATTTTTATTTTTTTTAAAAACATTTATTATTAATGAAACTCACAATCATAATACAAGTGCCCAACAGTATTGCCTTCTCATTCAAATCTATATCTTTGGGAAAATTAACGCAGAAGTTGTCGGCATAACTGAGCGCCTCCTTTGCCAAACCACTCCATTTCTTGGCAATAGTGCCGCACTTTTCGTCAGTTTCATAATTATCAATCGAGAATGTAGTTCCCGGACAACAACACCGAAAGCTCTCACAATTTGGTCCATTTATTGAATAAATTGGATCCGAATTGGAAAGGCTGTAAACCACCAGTTGTTTGTGAAAACAATTACACGACTCTTCAATACTTCCAATCTTACTATCCGTCGGAGAATAGACTTCAAGTTTCTGTTCACATATTTTTTAATGAATTTGTTTTAAATTCAAAATTCAAAGATATTTGACAGAGAATCACGTGAACGATACGAGAAATATATAAACTGGAAAATATAAATAATTAAATACTCACTTCATATCTGCAGAGACAGAAGCACTGACCACAGCAATGGTTCTTCATCTTCAAGCGAATTACTTCCCTTCCGGTGTCGTCCTTTATCTTCATTTCAAAGCGCCGACCCCTTCGACAACAACGACAACAATTACACGAACAACAACTTTCCTCCTCTTAATACAAATATCAAATCAATTTTAGTGAAAACACATTTAGAAATACTACCCTCAGTAGCCGTCAAAATTGTTTTGCCATTTATGTCTTTGATTTTATATTTATTAAGTTTATCACAACACAAGCATTTGTCACAAACGGATCCCATTATATCAATCTCTTGCTTAACAATAAGCGATTCATAATTCTTAAGAATCTCTAGACTCGCGCCGTTCGTATTGGACGGACCAAATAGACTGAATTCAGTGGTGCCGGCAGTGGTGGCCGTTATGGGCTGTTCAGTCACCACATTCTCGGCACTCATTTTGACGATTACTTTGATTTCTCAAATATAAACTCCAAAATTCCTTTAGTCTATTGTCGACACCCTTTTGAGCGAATCGATCGATAATTCATGAAAATATTGCATTTCAGTAGTTTTAGTACTGAAACGATTTAACATAAAAAAGTTTGTTTCTATAACAACATTTAAGATGTTTTGTTTAATCTATCTAATCGTTTTAATTAACTTTAAGTTTGAAATACTTAGTATAATTAAATAAATAAAACTTTTTACACACTTTATATAATCACTTGAAATTTTTATTTAAAACATGACAGTACAGTCTATCCATTTGAAAATATATAGTCATTGTTGTGTTTGTTTGATCATTACATTACAGTACAGTAACACAAATCATTTGATTTCAATCAAAACAATTGTCTTAAGCGATGGAATCATACAAAGCCTTCGCGTGGTGTGCAATGTGTTGACCAATAAAAGTGGACACAAAGAAGAATGAGTGGTCGTACCCCTCCTGCAAACGGTATATTACTGGCACTTTAGCGCCGGCACAGGACTCCACAAAATTCTTGCCCATCAGGTCATCGGCCAAATAAGGGTCGGTTGAGCCCTGTATTAGCAATAGTGTTGAATACTGTATACCTGTAACATATCAAACTTGAAACCAATACACACCTGATCTATAAGCAGATTAAGTGGCGGTCCGTTATATTTGTCAACTAATAGAGTTGAATCCCATTCCTCCCAGTCTTTAGGGTTATCACCCAAATATCCTTTAAAGCACTTCTGCCCCCATTTGCCTTTAGAGGGGTTAGCAATGGGTGCGAATGCGGACACAGACCTGTAAAGCCCCGGGTTCTTAAGGGCACAGATGAGCGCCCCGTGACCTCCCATACTGTGCCCAGTAATCGATTGACAGCCACTTATGACCGCAAAGTTTTGCTCAATAATTAGTGGCAACTCTTTGGTCACATAAGAGTACATCCGGTAATTGTCTTTCCATTTGTCTTGAGTGGAGTCCACGTAAAATCCAGCGCCGGTTCCGAAGTCATAATCGGTGTCCTCGCCCTCAATGTTGAGCCCACGAGGACTGGTGTCGGGTGCGACCACTACAATGCCCTCATCGGACGCATATCTCTGAAAGCCGGACTTAATGATGAAGTTTTGCTCCGTACAGGTGAGACCCGACAGCCAGTAAAGCACCGGCACTTTGACGCCATCCACGGCTTTCGGTGGGATGTATATCGAGAAAAGCATTTTACACTTGAGTTGTTCGCTGTCATGACTGTACACCTCCTGTCGACCACCAAAACACCGATTACTGGACACCAGAGTCACGCCGTTTGCACTCATGTTGTCTGCAAATGCAATGTTTGACAACTTTGTCGCCCAATGGTGTACTATATATGTGGTGTGGAGTGCCCTCTGGTGTCACCCATAAGCACATACAGTGTGTCCATACGTGCCATTCGCTGACATTTGACTGCATTTCGCGTTTGTTTCATAACTTCATAATTGGTGTCATTTGTGTGATTCCAGTGAATGTGCTGTTAATGTGACACTAATTGGTGGACAAGTGTTGACTCGTGTTGTCTTTGATCGTAATCATCGCACAATTGGATCCAATTTGGAGGCAATCAGTGGTGAGTATGAAGTGAGCGGCTGTTCTGTCGTGTGGTGTCATTCCCCCTCCCATTACATTACATAATAGCCTAATGTCTGCAAACTATCACTCAATTGCCGCTCAAGACATGCCAATCGTGATGACCACTATTGCGGACAATTGTCTCCTTTCTCTCCCACTCCTTACCAAGTCTTCAGACTTTCTGTCATTTGAATCAACTTTTATTAAGAGATGTTATGAATTGAAAGCAATGTTTCATTGAATGCAGAGTTAAGCCAAGAAATGACCGCAAATTACGACGACTCGAACCGCTTCCTCGGGATGTTGGCCGAAGTGGCCGTCAAGACGTTGAATGCAGAACAGCATCAGTCGCACCACTCGGACGCCAATCCACACAAACGGGTCAGTCTTGAGCTAAGTCTCACTTGTGATCACTTGTTACGCCATACACTTAGCCATAAGTGATTGCAATGATTCAGTTGTCATAAGATAGTCACCAAATGTATGCTTTCGTTTCAGTCCAATAAAAATGTCTTAAGTGTGCAACAAATCCGGAAACTGTCGGACAAAGTATTGGTCGAGTCTTTCAGCGAATTGAGTTGCGATGAAATCCGAAGAATATATCGATTCCGATGTGTATTAATGCCCGAAACGTGTGGACTCGTGTACGAGAGCTTTGCCGTTGAAGACAGGGCTCGCACTTTAATTAGAGATCATCTCTTGGAGCACATCCGCAACGTTGAGCCTAACTTCACGGCCGAGACTCTGAGCGCCAGAAACCGACGTCTTAATGATGGCCACAAAATATGGCGAAACAGTCACTCAAAGAGTCACATAAAACCTGATTCGCAAACGAATAGAGTTTTGAAAAGCTCTTCAATTAAGAGTCAATTAAGCGATGAAGACATCTGTAAAGGTCGTGAAAATGATGATTTGACTGCGAGTTCGTTGTCACCTTTGGATCAGAGTTTAGATGATATGCAAGAAGAGGAGAATAACGAGAAGAGTTTAATAACCAATAAAAATAGTCGTGAAGATCACTGCTATACTTCTCTGGAGGGACCCAAACATAAGACCATTAGTCCTATGGAGAGAAGTGATGAGAATGTCTTGAATAGCATCAGGAAATGTCTGAACCAAACGAAAGTGATCGCAACGCCCGCCTTTCCCTTCATTTATGAACCCGTTTTGCCAAACATATCACAAGTTATTGAAATCGGTTCCACTCTTCATAACAATAAGTCTAAAACAAAGACAAGTTTCGAGACTTTAGATTTGAGTCAAACAGTGAGCCATAATGTTGTCGATGAACTCAATGCAAATGCATTACAGTTGAAACGGTTGGCTCTGCAATACATTAATGATATTCGAGTTAAAAATAGGGGACAAACGGATAAGAGTTCGTTTCGGTGTAAGATTTGTATCGACAAGACGTTCACTTCCCCGACAACATTGATATACCACTACAGAAGTCACGCGGGGGTTAAGCCGTTCGAGTGCTCCCTTTGTAAATCGACATTCACTCGACAGCATAGCCTAAACTATCACATGTTAATACATCTGAATAAATCCCGGTTCGTGTGCGACCAGTGCGGCCGCAACTTCAGACACCCCTCACATTTCAAGGAACATATGCGCCGACACACCGGAGAGACACCCTATGAATGCAGCGATTGTTTCATTAAGTGAGTTCTCATTGATTGCCATTATATTGATTCGTTTGTCTCACTTATCTGTGAATACTTTGTAAACAGATTCAAAACCCGAAACACATATAAACGGCATTTGCAGACAAAGCACTCGAAAATGCTGACGAGTAAAGGCATCTTTGATTTGCCGGACACTAACGTTCACATCCGAAAGCCATGTCCTCCGCGACGCAAATATGGCTTAGGATTCCTTCACCAGAATATCGAAGCCGTGGCTCGTTATGAGAGGGCTCAGGAGGAAGTGAAGAATAAGTGTCATATCATAGACGCCATCGATTCCAATCACCTCATCTTAAATGACTTCAATTCGAGTAAAAATAATTTCGAGAAATTACTGCAAGCGGTGGCCATTGCTGAGGATAATAACAGGACTATGATTACGTGAATTTGAATTGGATTTAGTTTTATTTAATTACATTTTGCGCACAACTTCTCTATTTTTAACATTGTATTCAGATTTATATTATGTATTAAATGAAATATTTGTATATAATATATTATATTATATAACAATTGAATTGTTATTAAGCTTTATTATTATTTTATATTATGATTACTTTGATTAAAATTAATTTTTTATTAAAATATACGAAATTTCAATAAATTGTAATAAAGTCCATAATATTATTCTCAATACAACTTTACCCCTACTGTAGACATCCGTGCCATGCAGTGAAGTGTGAGATGAGAGGGACTGCACTGTATTGAGGCGTTGCAGTGAAGCGTGTTTTCAGTCGTATTGTCAATACTGTCGTGACGTTTGGTTTGGTTTTGCTTTTTGTCACTCTTTTGGTCCTTTCATTGGATCTGTTTTGTGACAAAATGGCGGCACTTCTGAAGAAGAGAGCGCTCGCAGAATACGGACAGACGACTACTCAGGTATGCAATGATTGTGACCATTGGATGTGATGTAATGATGGCGTGAATGACTGATAGGAGGAACCGAAGCAACGAAAGGTTCGGTTGAGTCGCAAATCAAAGAGGGATGCGTTGGAAGAGACGGGTCTTCGCAACAGTGGTGTCGAAGAGATCAACCAATTGCTCAAATCGAGTTCAGATGCCGTCAATGTCTCTGAATTATTCAATTTATTCCAAAGAGGAAGCCGTGAGTCCATGGATGCCAACCATTGCCAACAGATCTATAAGAAATTGATGAACAAAATGAACAAAAGTCGGGATCCGATCGTTAAGATGTCATACATTACTGCCATCAAAGAGTTGATCATTAATTTCGATTCAGTTGTCGATCTCTTTGGCATCAATTCAATGATTGACGACTTGTTGTCACTACTGAAGAGCGAGTGCTCGCATATAGTGATCGCAGAAATACTCAATACTTTGCATAAATTGGACCAAAAGTTTGAAACCAATTGTGAACACAAACTCAATATCTTGAAGACCGCAAAGCGTTTACTTCAGAAGAGTTGCAATCATGTGGTGAAGAATGAATGTCTCTCATTGTTGGCTGACTTCGCGCCCATTGGTCTCAAGACAAATGACAGCACATCCGACTTGAGTTACGTTCAGGTCGAGTGCATTGCAATCATTAAACTGTTGCGTGATTTCAGCCATTATCACGACTCCAGAGTTCGCTCCACAGCCTTATCTTCTATCGTGAGTTTTAATTGAATTAATTGTGTATTTAATTAACCTTTTGATCACTTCATCATTAGTTACGACTTCATCAAAGAGGTGTTAAATTAGATATAAGTCTTTACAGCGAATTCTGTGAATCACTTAATGATGACTACGAATGCGCCAGAATTACAGCCATTAAACTGCTTCTCGTGATTAGCCAACACTACGGCGACTGGTATTTAACTGATCCTCAGATCCTCTTATGTTTGTCTTATTAATCACGAAATAATGTATAAAACAGTTTAGTTTGTGTGAACGATGGCGCAGAACAGATTCGATTAGCGGACGACGCGTTCGCCAAAGTGTGTTCAATGATGAGCGACCCCTCCATGAATGTCAGGGCAGAGTCGGCACTACTTCTGGTATTTCAACAATTTAAACAGTATTTCGCTGTCAATGTGAACATGTGATTGATTTTGTGTGACATTCACTTTAGGGCCAATTCACTCATATAAGTCCCAACTTCTTGGAACAGACTTTAGACAAGAAATTGATGTCAAATTTAAGGGTAACTTATAAGTACTGGTATTTATTAAAATAAAAGCTAAACCATTGAATCTTTAGAAAAAGAAATCGGCGCACGAGAGGCACCGGGAGACGTATGAGACGGGCGAGTGGTCTAGTGGTCAGAAGTGGGCGGACGACGCCCCTCATGAGGAGTTGTGTCCGGACACCGTTAATCTCATGAATATCGGCGCCTGCGGTGCCTTCATTCACGGACTTGAAGACGAATTCTTCGGTAAGTTATCACTTTTGCCACAAACACACAGTTAATGATGAACGTGAACATAGAGGTGCGAATGGCCACTCTTGAATCCCTGAGCCAATTGGCACAACTGTTCCCCACGTTTGCGACACAAGCCCTCGATTTCTTAGTCGATATGTTTAACGATGAAATCGAAGACATCAGACTTAAAGCTATTCAATGTTTAACACAAATAAGTCTCGAGAATATAGTCCTAAGAGAGGATCAAATTGACATAATTTTACCCGTTTTGGAGGACTTCTCGATCGACATTCGCGAAGCACTTCATGCTATGCTCGGGAACTGTAAACTCTCGTCTAAGGCAGCGCTCAAGACATGTATTGACAATCTTTTAGAAAACTTGAAACGCTATCCACAAGACAAGAGTTCCATTTGGAACTGCTTCAAAAAATTGGGATCAAATCATCCCTACCTTACACTACCACTGGTTCCAGATTTGCTAGGAATCCACCCTTTTCTCGATTTGCCTGAAACTTCTCTTGAAGACACCGGTTGTAAGTGTTGTGTTATTATGAAAGAGAGCCGCAGCTAATAGTTTGTAAATTGTCTTTTCAAATGTCATAAACAGATGTTGCGATACTTATAGTGGTGTTCAATGCGGCCAAAGAGTGCACAACTATGACAGACCTCTTTGAAGAGCATATTCTTAGGCATTACTTCTATCTGCGGGACACATACCCCGCATTGGTTCCACGTTTGAAGATATTATCGACTGATTGCGATGTGTCTACCACTGACTCGTCTACAGTGAGCGCCGGTCAGTCCCGATCCCATTCATTCCTTTTACGTATCTTCGAAAGAGTTCGTAATGTAATGTCACTCGAGAGCGCCTCTAATCAGATCCAGTCAGCGGTTCTCAACCATTCTATTCGGTGAGTAATTGTTTGAAAATTGATTGAAAACTTTGAACATAAAATGTAATCCATTCAGAGATTTACAACATTTGGGTGAAGTCGAGCCCTCTCTGCTGGCGGCCTCCAAATTCCTGTGCGCTTACCTCCAGTGCCAGATGTCCTTAAGACGAGTAATTTTATCTTACGTCTAGTATTGTTTTATTTTAATTGCCTTGCTCAATTATTAGATACTGTCGAACACCAATTGGATCAACACTTTTCTGTTGTCAGCCCTACAATCGAGTTCATTTCGGGCCTCAATTCAACAGGTATTCTATAGTATATGTATAGTATCTATAGTATGTATAGAATCTATACATTAAAAGATTCAAACCTGTTCTCCAATACATTTGTTCATCTCATTTATACTCATCTGTATTAACACTCATTAGTTACTGAACACAACTTTCTCTTTGGTTAATCGCTTCCATGGCTTACATCCCATTCAATTGGTTTGCATTCAAGAGACTCGTCTCAAAGCAATGGCTCTGCAATTGATTGCTATAATCCATGGCAGCAATGCGTCGGCACTTGCATTGTGTGACGCTTTCATCTCTGAAGCCGAATATTTGGAGAAATTATTGTTTGAAAACCATTTAAACGCCGATTCATTAACTGTTAAAATGATAAAAGAAATAAATTTATTAGAAGAGCCCAAACCGGGAACCGTCGCTCGAGTTTTGAAACCACTCTTTCTCTCGCCTTCAATATCATTGATATCAGATTTGGTTAGAAATTTGATTCAATTATGAATACTATCGACAATCACTTAATGTTAATTTATTTCAATGTATTTATAGGACATTATGTTAAATGAGAAGACATTCTTTGATTTGATTCGTCTGCGTATGACTTGTGCCACAATCCATGAGCCGACCGGTAAATCGGACAGTCCTCACAAGTTTACGGCCGGATTAATACTGGGATTACCTTTCGATGCGGTCATTGAAAATGTAACCGACGTTAGGAATATCAGAATTAAAGTAAATTTTAATTTATATTTACCGCTAATTCTTTATAAATTAATTGAATTGATGTTCAAAATGACCCTTAGATTCAATACCCGGACCAACAAATACAAGTAGTTTTACCAAAATTGACTGACTTTCGATTGATCGAGTCCTCAGAAAAGTCAAATGTATGCAAATATCGATTGTATACTACAGTCTATTTATCACATGGAGTTTGGGTCGAGTCGTGTCCCGTTGAGATCGGACTTATGCTCGACTTCCGAGATACCACTTCCACCACTTTGACCGCTACTCAGACATGGATTTCCTCCACAACTAAAGGAAGTGGTATTAAAAGTACTAAATCTGAAGACAGTCTCGTGATTGATATCTGTAAACCAGTTCGTGTCTATCTGTCCCCTAAAGCGCCCAAAAAACTTGTTATTTAATTTACTTGTTATACCGTAAATGTAGGTTCAATAAATACGGTAATGTCAATTTTGATTTAAACTTTGTATGAATTCATTTATTTATCATATTTAAGGTTATAAAATATTTTCAATAATAATTTAACTTGATAAACTCCTATATTTTAATTATAATAACTACAAATCTTGGACAACAAACAAATAATAAAATAAATGAGAATTAAGATAATTGAAACTGTTTTTATATGCCGTATATATGGAGTCTTTGAATATTGAATGAATACCGTAGACAGCAAATGGTGATGACGGCAATCAATGGTTTGTCCAAAATTGTAGTCAATACTAGTATTGGTATTAAATCTTTTGGGCGACTTTGATGGCTAACTGACATCCGTTTGATATAACATTATATAACAGATTAAAACCGAAAGCATTTTGTGCCCCAAACTCAATGCCGGTGTCGTAATGGTGTTGCTCTTCGTCCCGGAACTGTTTGATGGTTTCGATGAGTTCTTTGTGTTCCTCTAAGTCATCGTCGAGTAATTGTCTCAATTGGTTGTCGTAGTGTTTGGAGATGACATCCTCGACGGCCACAGTGCAGGCCATCGCCGCGTGAGGACCCATGAGGGCAGTGGTGGCGCCCAAAGCCAGACCCGCTATACTCCAGAGCGGAGTGAACACACTTCTGGAGACCCGGTGTCTGAGCGCCAGTGACTCGAATCGTCGCAAATGGTGTTTCTCCTGATCCCACATCTCTTGGATCACTGGACAGTGTTTGGGATCGTTCTTCAGGACCAGCATTTGGCCCCAATATATGCGGTCTGCGGCCAACTCTCCCGAATGGTTCACTCGAATCATTTGGTCGTACTCAACTGCGGAAGAAGCTGTATTTATAAACCGGCTTCTCAAGTGAGAACTGTAGTGAAGGTGAGTTTACACAGAGTTAAGTGTTCGTTAATCAAAACTTACTTTACTTTTATAAAACATTTGTTTGCGCACATTCACTGCCACTGCGACTGCGCTCTCATTGACACCAATTCTGGCACTAATTATACAGAATATTCTGCATCTCATCGGTCAAGTGGTCAGTTGGGGTGACATGGATGTGGAGTTTTGTGATCTCATGCAACAAAAGACCATTCATTGTATGTTTCATTAAACTTAACATTATTAGTCCATTTGAGACATGTATTGAATACTGAATAAAAGTTTACAAATTAAGGACATTTTATTTGAAGACAAGATTTTGATTTGAAATATTGATAAGTCATAAGCAAACGTGACATTTGTATTCAAAATGATTTTTGTTTAACTGTTAATTCATTGGAAAATTAAATGAAATCAATGAAAAGTGGAGCTAATGTTCAGGTTCTGCGTCATCGAACTGTCCGATGACTTCCATGGGCTCATCGCCATTGGGATCTCCATTTGCAAAATTATCTTCCAATAGATTCGGTGGTAAACCGCGAGAGTCTTCAGCAGCGGCCACATCGTAGACATTAGCACTCATAGGGGTGTCTTCGTTGTCATAGTCTTCGTCGTGTTGCTCGTCCTCCTCGAGTCTCTTGCTCAGCAACCCCAGCCCTACGTCACGAACTGTAAGTCTGTACCGAAATTTGTATCGGAGGTTTACCCACAATAGAAGCCCTTGCTTAGCCTAGAGTAATAACAACGCGAGTAAAGGTACGACTGAACAAATAGTTAACAAAAATTATCATTATTTCAAAGTAACTGTTAAAATAATATTATTTTATTTATTTTAATAGAAATAAAAGTCAATTCTCAACAAAAATCAATTTTATAATAACTAAACTTTTATCAACTTTTGTACAATTAATATCGCATCTAAAAAATCGTTTCCAAAATAACTAATATTTATATTCAACTCTAATATTAATACATTTTATATAATTTTTAATATAAGATTTCATAAAACGCTTTTATTTAATGACTTAAATGTAATCAAAAAACTATGTTTTCATGATTTCAAAGTTTTGATTCAATGATTCGGAAATTAAATCTAAAAAATGCAAAAACAAAACAATTTATCGAGTGATTAGAAAATGTAATAATGAGTGAAAGGAGGCGTCAATTATTGAATTTCGAAGGGGAAGGGGATGTCTCGGCAGCGGTCTTGACCCGCGAGGACATGAACTCAGCGTTGAAGTCATTGGCGTCCATCTTTAATATATAGGGTATTATACTATCGATTTGAACGCTTCCGATGAGACCCGAGAAGAAGAGTTCTTCAGTGATGTTCGGCAGTAAAGAGCGCAGCGGAAGAAGTCTTAGAATGAGTTTCGAGAAGCGATCGCTGGCCTCCTCTGGTGAACAACTGGTCTCATTGATGTAATGTCTGAGTTCGCGGACAGTCTTCTCCTGAAACCTATCGATTTGTCTGCAGTTCATCATAAGACCAATGCCTGTGTTCTCAGGACTGAACAGAACGATGGCCTTCAGGTATGCGTACTCTCTGTCGTCGACTTCAAGCTTTTGAAACGAATTGACAAAGTCTTGGAGTTTACAGATATGATCGGTCACTCCCTTCACCCTCTGAAGGGAGAGCTTGTCTTCGCGCAGAGTTGTTTGCAAATGAGTGATAATTGCAGATAATATGGTGGCCAAAGACATTACTTGAGAGGTTTGAGCCAAACCTAACACAAACAGTTGACACCAACAGCCCCTCACGAGAGATGTCTGCACATCGATAGACATGAGTTGAAAGGCGGGTATAGATTGTGCCCAATGGACAGACAGGAAGAGGAGACGAGAGGCCGACTCACAGATGTATTGGAGTGAGAGAAACGAAGCGCCGGCTATGGGAGGCGTGAGATTGAAAGTGAAGTGTTGATCAGTAAGGATGGGTCCGTCGATTTCGAAGAGGTCTTCGTTGTCATTGTTTTGTCCGCAGACGGCATCGATTGCACCGAAAAGGAAAGCCGTTTGTTCTGAACTCGATTTAGAACCCGAAGCTATTTTCGCCATTATATCGAACGCCGCTTTCGATATCATTAGGTTTTGTCGATCAGTTGAACTGTTAGTCTCTTTGGAACTCTCACTGTTAGCACCGGTAGTATCGACTAATTTGTTTATATCTGTTCTATCACTGCATGTGTTGGCACTGATGGCGGCGACGGCCACCTGTTTGAGTGCCATAAGGTTTGAGACAACGTTAGCTAAAGTACTTAAGTCTCCGTTAGCTTTGCTGGTGTGAGACGTGTGGCCAGAGTTGGCGCCACTGACCGTCGCCTCCATCATAGATAAGGCCGACTGGTTGTCGAAAAGCGCCGACATATCGGCTGCAGAGCCCCCTCGGGGCAGGATTTGGCGTTGGGATGACGTGGAAGTGGTGTTTGTCGTCGTATAAGAACGAGAAGGCATTAATTGTGATGAATTGGTGGCCGCGGCTATCACTGCTTGTATAGCACTGGCACTGCCCTCGAGGGCCAGGGGTTTGCGTTCTGGTTGGCAGTGATCGGCTCTCATTCCCATTTGCAAACACTTCTGGAGCCGACAGAACTGACACCTATTGCGGTGATGTTTTGTCACTTCGCAGTCCTGGTTCGCACGACAGACATAATTGAGTTGTTTTCGGACACTGCGCTTAAAGAAACCCTTACAGCCTATGAATGGAAATGGATGGAAAGGGATGACAATTACAACCAAAGAAAGGAAACTATTAAATGAGTACAACCTTCGCAACTGATGGCCCCGTAATGACGACCTGATGCTTTGTCTCCACAAACCACACAAAACTCGATTGTCTTCTTCTCGACAGAAGCGCTCATAAGAGGCGAAGAGTGAAGGTTTACGTTAGAGAAGGATATTCTAGCGCTAGGAGTGGGAGGCATCGAGTCCTCGGGATTGTCGCACTCATCAGGACTGCGACCCATCCACTCCTCGGCCGAGTTGTCGGCAGAGTTGTCGTAGTCTAAGCCCATGGCGACGATAGCACTGGGAGACGTGGGCACACTTATGAACTCCGTCTCGGGCTCACCGGCACTGTTGTCACCACCACTGGAGGGACTGTCGGGTTCGCACTTAATGGTCAGATTAGTAGCGCAGGTGTCAGGTTCTGGCAGTTTATTAACCATATCGTTGCGAATCAGGTATTGGAGTTTGGATGTCATCACAGCATCAGTCGTGCCATTCAATAGTGAACTCTTAGTCAATAACGACGATTTGTGGTTAAAATTTCTTAACCACATATGATATCAACGGATATACAGTAACCGTAAATTGCAATAACAGTGACACAAATGACAGTTATGTTGGCTTTTCATACAGAAACAGTGAGTTTTGGTCGAGAAATAAGACAGAAGGCTGAAGGTTCGACAATCAGAGGGTTTGTATAGAGAGTTGTTTATATGGTATTCACGAATTGACACAAAATGCAAACACTGGTGAAATGGTTGTGCAATCGTTAGGTATTCACTATTGACCAGTCATTCAATCATTCAATGGATCAATGAGTGCATCGAAAGAGAGAAAACATTTGATTAGAGAAATAATTGTAGAGTTTATTGATATAGCATTATATCATAGCATATATTATGTAAATCTAATTCAAGTCCTTCTGAATTATTTCCCCATCAAATCACATACAGTCTTATATTGAGTTTAATAGCTATTCATAGAATTACAATCAAAATACAGTCAACTAATTGTAACAAAAGTTAATAAAAGCTTTTCAGAGGTTATTGTAAACCGAGTGATCACTTAACAGCACATATGATAAGTATAGGAACCGAAAGCACAGAGAGAACCGCTTTGAGGAAAGGTATGCAAAAGGGCTGACACTCACCCGACTCCGTGTCACTGTTGTTGTCCTCTACCATCAGATACAGACATTCGGATCCGAAGTTTGTTAAGTCTCTGGAGATGGCGTGCAATGCTATCATCGGGTATTGCAATGAGAATCCCTGGCCGTTGTCTGTGACCCACGACAGGCTGTTTGGGGTGATTGAGACCATTTAGATACCATTCACACACGCATCACATTCACTGCAATGTTGGCCTCAATTACTAACTATTCACAAATGAGTCAAACTTTTGCTTTCCTTTACTATAACTACGGCTAACACTCAACGTATGTATGGTTTGATTGCATTCAATACTTTCATTACTATTACTATTAGTTAGAGTGGAGTAGAGTTGCAGTGAAATGAGGTCGAGAGACAACTCAACACCACTGATGGCAACCATTGAGCACTGGATCAGCACTGGTATGGTATGCCAGTCCTCAACCATTTGATATGGTATGCACTCCTTAGGACCAGTGTATCAACATTGAGGTCATCACTGGATGACTGAATCAGTGAAATGAGTGGCAATGAGACCAATGAAATACATACGAGTTTTGGGCGATTATTAGAGACCCCTTTCCCAGAGGGTTGGTGTCCGAGACGTAAGCACTAGTGTTGTCCTCGCGATGTGTCACTTGGTCTTCGGGGGGAACCTCTATGTGGGTTAAAGACACTAACATTGCGACACTTGCAATGGACAGGCGGTGAGAGGTGGTGGTGGGTGTGGGATGTGTTGGAAGCGTTGCAAGTGATGCCAAAATGGAGGTCTCATGAGATACTGCGACGCATTTAGTTGGGCGACGACTGCATGAACACTGCAATGAATGCCTACTGTATTGAGTAATGCATGACTGTATGAATGCCTGTATGTATGGCTGTATGACTGTATGGACTGCACTCGACTCCACACTCAACATAACCTATAGCTGTGTTGACCCCCTATTCCACTGAGAGGGCGGGTCATTGAGGGTGACGTCGACAGGCCGTCAGGTCATTGCCCGCGGCATACATGCACTGCAACGTTGAGTGCGAGAGAGCTGTCTGTCAAGGGCTACCAGTGCTACCAGTGCTACCACTGCCACCACTCCACCACTGCCACTGCCAACAGCTAACTCTTGCCTCTATTGCCGCATTGGGTGCACAACGAGTCCAACCAAATGCATACAACTGTTGAACTCGCGATCAACTCAACCCTCAATCCCATCCCAATGCGAGCAAAGTTGACGAGTTTGAGGCCAACAGAGGCCATGCGGTCCACCCGTACAACGAGTCAATGACTGCCACTCACCTCTCACTGCACTTTCATTGCCCACAACCACTACAATTGGATCACACGTTCAGTTAACCCCAAAACATATGTTCACCACTACTTCACTACTTAATAGTTCATATTAATACCAATTCAATATAACACAACTAGTCTAACAATCTAACTGTTAGTTCACCAATAAGTTCATCATTACACTCACTTTCATACCTTTCATACACTATTCTTTGCTTTACTTTTATTTATTGATTATATTTAAGCAAAACTTTGAATCACATTCAAATTGACATAAACAGGCGCTAAGAATAAGTGAATTTCTTAATAATTCTAATAATCACAAATAGTTTTGATAGTAAGGGTATAGTAGTTTCAAAAGTTAGTTAAATTCTTGTTCAAATAATTCAATTGTAATTCAAGTGCTAGAAAATTAATTCACAATCCAAATACTGTATATGTAACATTTTTATTGGATTCAACCAAAAGTACAAATAACTTTTATATTTCTTTAAATTGTTCTTTAGTTAATATTCGGTCCAGTTGGTTGTCCGTAAATTGTATTCATGTCATTAATAGACTGTGAAAGTAAAACTATGGGACTGTTATTTACTGTTATACAGTGACTCGTTATATGAAATACCGATATCAGGAGGTATTAATACAACTTTCTTTAACATATTTAAAATAAACTCTTCAAAAAGTTATAAGTTACTCTAATGCATCAAGACAGTTTTATTTTACAGGTCAATGGATTATGGTTCAAAGTTTGAACTTCAAACTAAAACGCATATTTCCTTACAGTTAAGTTGATAGTGTAAATCAAATATATATCTATTCCATGTATACCATGCTGTTCATTTTATTTTTTACCCATCGTTTATGAGCTCATTTTTGAGAAACTGTAGAAATCTGTATGTATTCAATAATTTAGTATAAATTAAATTATGCTAGACTAATATACAGTATACTGTACAGTATAATGGATAATGGTCATTTATTACGCTTAAAGAAACATTCTAAACTCTTAACACACTCTCTCTCTCTCTCTCTCTCTCTCTCTCTCTCTCTCTCTCTCCTGACTGTGATATTAACAAAATATATATTCGATGATAAAATACAAAGTTTTTGATTAGTGTTTACATGAAATAATTGACTAAAAAGTGAATCGACGGTAATTTGACTGAAATGGAGTAACACTTATCATAAGACTTGACTAAAGAGTGTTCGTATAGGGAAGAGGAAAATATAATGTAATTGAGTTCACAAATTGAGTAAAAATGTGTTTTCGAGTGACGTAGACATCAATTGGTTAAACATATGCTCTAAATGTAGTCAATATTTGGCTTAATTTGAATTCATATGAAGTTTAAGTGATTGAAAAACTATTCCTAAAACACGCGTATTCACGGCCACGATAACTAAACTATTAAATCGTAAAGTAAGTAAGTTAAGATCCCAAACTGCCGAGCCCTTCGCTAGTTATACAGGAGATTACGGGTTATATATGTGATTTATTATTTAAGTAAACAGTTAATGTTTGCCCACAAATTTTTAAATAAAATAAAACATTATTATAAATTGGTTTGGGATTCAATAGATTTTCATTTTCCAATTACTCTCTCATGTATTTCTAATTATACACATAAAGCTTAAAATATAGAGTGCCCTGGGTATATGCCTTACAGCGGTTATATACAGTAGTGGTTACTGTATGAACCGTCAATCCATTCAAAAATATCACAACAAATGACGTTCTGTTGACGGTTTCGTTGACCGATTGTCACCACAAGATCTGACCATTGAATAGATGAGTGATCACTGATGACACCGTCACTAATCTCTGGTCTCTAGTCGACCATTAATTGAACCATTGATTGGTTAGTCATAAGCCATAACTTGAAGGCATATACAGTTGAATGACAATTGGATTGTGTAATCACCACAACATCTGTCACATCTACTCGTGAATGACCATCGATTAGATCTACGATTAGGTGATCTGTGCATAAATGGTGGTGAAAGATGTGGCCCTATATTATCCGATTCAATACGAGAGCTCTTCTGGTTTTGACACTCATTTTCGGTGCAATCGTTGATGACCATCGATTAGATCTACGATTAGGTGATCTGTGCATAAATGGTGGTGAAAGATGTGGCCCTATTAATAGGCTAAGTTATGCTCTCGAGAAGACCAAAACTGTGAGTAAAAGCCACGTTAGCAACAGAAGACCATAATAGATAATTAGCCAAGATTTCTGTTTGATAACAGGTTTAGTACCTAGCGAAGCCAAAAAGTAGATCTGAAGAGACTTTTAATAGGTTTGAATGAATTGAATAGAATTGAGTTTCATATATGAATGACATCTAATGGTGTTATGATGTTATGGTGTCATGTGATGGACAGCGAGCATAATGGCAGCGGACGGTGGCGGACAAGAAGTGGTTCGCGTTTTCAACAGTAATGCTCTTCATATGAAAAGTAAAGGCAAGACAAGGGAAGGAGTGAATGATGTCTTAACCCAAGGTTTGCTTACAAATGAGTGATCAACCAAATGATTACATGTCGGGTTGACCGTATCTTCAGGGGATCTGTTGTCGCACCGACTGATGGTTCACTCGCTGTCCGCTTCATTTCCTGGCCTTAGAATCATATCAGAAGAGCACTCGTCAGTAGAGGACAATGCGCTGGAGATCACACCCATTCATGTCAGCGATGAACTCCTGTATGACGACAAGTACTCCAAACTGCCCTTTGGTCTCGAAATACCTTTAGGGGAACTGACCGTTTGGGTGGACCCTCTCGACGCAACTAAAGAATACTCGGAAGGTTTGACCAAATATGTCACTACAATGGTATGCATCGCCAGAAATGGTGAGCCTATCATTGGTGTCATTCATAAACCATTCAGTTCTGAAACGTATTGGTCGTGGAAGGGGAACGGCATGTCATCTAACATAGAATCAGCCCTAAAGACATACAATAAAACAAAGGATACGTTCCGTGCGATCGTCTCTCGATCTCATGCCGGAGACGTGGACTCTATTATCAAGAAGTCATTGAGTAATGAATATAAAGACATAGAAGTGATTCCAGCGGCCGGTTCTGGCTATAAGACATAACTTAATTATCTTCCGTCTCGGCTGCGAATATAAGTGCACTGACAGTAGTTCTTTACCCTATGGACACGTGGGTTACGAGAGAATTTGAGATATTTACTACGTTTCTACTGTCTTTAGTTGCCTTATACTATTAAATATAACTATGAAGACGAAGAGGTGAATGAAAATGGTTTGTTGGCCACTGTTCGCGAAGATCACCGCAAACTCTTAAAGCTGTTTCAAAACGTTAAACAATAGACAATAGTTTACTGCTGTTAAGGGAAATACAGTTGGTTTAGAAGACTCTGACAAACTTCTTAGACTTTGACTTGATTTGAGTCAAAATGATTTGTACATAATTTCAACGATTCTCACATTTTTACATTCATTTTACAAAATATGAATTCATGTTAAATCCAGGGATTTATAAAAAAACGAAATTAAAAACTCTTTTCGATCATAAATAATGTAGCGGTGGATGTGATGGGAGTGACCACTGGACTCAGTGAGGGTCGGATGTTGAGCTGAACGAGTTTGCGTTTGTGGTCGGCCTGGAGGTGCCTCTTGACGTGTTTGGTGAGGTGGTCGCTCCTCATGAACCGACGCTCGCATACGGAACACACGAACTTCTTCTCTCCCGTATGGGTGCGCTTATGGCGAGACAACTCATCAGATCTGGAGAACTGTCGACCGCACGACTCCCACAAACACACAAACGGCTTCTCTCCTAAAAACAGTTTAAATAGTCGTTAATTGTATTGTACGCGAGTATTGAGTAGTGGGTTAGTGCGCACCGGTATGTGTCCTAATATGAGCCTTCAAGTGAGAACTTTTGTAGTAAGTTTTGGTGCAATTATCATAATTGCATTGATAGGTACGCCTCCGGTCGAGTGCAGGCTTTTTGGTACCAATTGGTCCAGTGGTCGATGGAAAGGGGGTAATGGGTGTCGCAAATGAAGGGAGAGTGGAGGCAAATATGTACGACTGACCACTTTTGTTACAATCGTTTAAATTTGAAGTAGTGGTCGATAGGTGTGGAGCCGATGTCACCACTAACTGTACCACTCCGGGAGGGATTGGTATTACTGTAGTGTTTGGTTGAGAAAGAGTTTGTGTGGGAATTGATGTAAGAATGAGTGTTTGCGGAGGTTTTGGTACTATTTGTGTGGTATTCGTGACAAAGACTGAGGGTCTGTCCGAAGTGGGTCTCAACAAAGAGTATGAGTGCTTTGGAGGACTTGTTTTGATGGGTTTTGTGCGCGTATTCGTCGCGATAATTGTGGACCGATTCTGAGACAAACCATTAGATAATGAAGAGGAGCACAACTTCTTGATTGGTTTGGGAAGAGGAGGTGCTCTCATGATAACTGGTACCGGAACTGATGTCGGATGAGTACAGATAGGAGTGATGGGAGGGGTTGGGGTGAGTAGGAGCTGAAGAGAGAATTGATTGGTTATGATTAATGGATTGATACAAATGTAAGAGGAATGGCATACAAACCCGGGCTAACTCTGAATTACAACTCTTAGCGAAATTGTAAAATAACAGTAATTATACTCTATTGTTTGTTGACAGGTGTCTCAAGCTCAGCTTGAGTAGAAGGCTAACGCCTCCTCAAGGGTTTAACAGCCAGTGATTTACCCTTGTCACAAACGAGACTTGCCGTGCTTCATGGCAGTCATTGGACAGTTGGCTGCAGTCATTGGACAGTTGGCTGCAGTCATTGGACAAAACCGATTAGCTCTCGTCTCAGAGTTGGCGAAGCAAGTTCAGAAATGAGGCAAACAGGTTGAGTACTCAGCTAACCAAACACAGGACATTAATGTTAAATACCTTTGCTTTTGGGAAATTTTGACAACATTAAATTATAGATTTTATTAAATTTCACATTTTATCAATGTTTTCGACAAATAGTTTATATTAAATGAATTTATAATATAGTAATAGATATGATTTATTTGCAAACACTTTAGTTCATTGATTTGATTGGCGAGTCCACACAAACAGCACTTGACAGCACTGGTATGTATGCATTATGACTATTAATATAAGGACTCGTATCCGTATCAGTGATCAAGTCATGACAATTTGATAATTTTCTCGTGACTTGTATTACATGAATATGAATTCAATCATAAAGAAGGCATTTCTTTGTGACACAAGTAATAAATTTTATTACATTTGCAAACAATTTCTCCCATTTCTTACCAGAATTGTCGAGAAACACCTGAAATTCAATACCAATAAATGCATACATCAAATACAAACCCACAATAATGTAACCCAAATGACACTTAATTGATCACATAATTAAATTAATAGTCATTTAGTTATTGTAATACAGTATAAGTTTGAGTGCAAATCATTTTTAACGCAATAATCATTTTATTTGCAATCATCAATGGATTTCATATAAACTATATCTTAAATATAATCTAATGTTAAAATAAGTATATATATGTATATATATATATTTAATGTATAATTAATTAATTAGTTTATGATATATTAAACCTAGAAATGGCTGTAAAAGAAGTTTACGGATAAAAACAGATCAAAGAGACAACAAATGATATTCAGTTATGATTTATGAGATTTCGCTAACTATGGGACAAAAGCATTGATTCAATCAATCAATTGTCAGTGCTTTGAATGAATAGCATTTAATTAACACTAATTAATGAGCCATTCATTCAATAGGATTCAAGTAATACTCACATCAGTAAAGCATAGGACATGGCTATGGCTATGGCTAGCAATCAGTGCAGGACTTTGTGGAGGAGAGTAATCATCGATACTCTCATCAATACCAACACATTTGGACATCCGTTCACTCATTACTATACGATTTATACGATATACGATATGCTATTGTCTTAATATTAATTAATAATTCATATATCAATATATGTCTGATTATTGTTTCAATTCTGCTTTATTTCAATTTGCGTTCAATCAATGCATTCAATGCAGTGTCTGTTTGCAGTCTTAATTACAACAGCATATCATTGGGAATGTAGTAAAAGTTGCAAACAAACCATTCAATGCCTTATATGCTGCCCACCAATGGGTGTGTGTGTTGTCGAGCACAGCGAGACATCAGCCAACCAATCACTAAGCATACCTAACCCCCGACAACCACCACACAAACCAAACACCACCACAACTGGTGCGGCCATCAAACATGTATTAGCAATGTCTGGCCATTGCGTGACTGCACAACACACCACACTATACATCACTCACAGCCACAACACACAACACAAATGCTAATTGTCGTCAATCGCGAGCATATGATTGGCGTACAATCGATGACCTCAACGCTTAACATGTGATCATCACATGAAAGATATGATGGCATTCACGTGACATACCATACGCTCCCCAATGATACACAATCTTTGAGCGAACACTTCATATGCGGATTACGTACACAACACACCATTTCATAGCATGTATGGCAAGGGGGCTATAAATGTAACGCTATTTATGAATCACATTGACATAAGTATGGGACGGCAAACAATGCATTGAATGCTTGTCTGTGAACAAGTGCTCAACAATTAAGCATTCAGTCATCGCTTGCTATCCAACCAAACATACATTACTAGCATTTGTGTCAAAAGCAAACCAATACACCATTTCATTGCATGAAATTGTCACACAAATGCATTCATTAGGCAATATATCAATCATTGCATTAGTTCACTGCATTGTTAGCCTGCTCAATTAGCCTGGTGATTTGATGTTGGTGACATAAATCGGTGTTCGTAATCGTTACTTACGTATTAACCCAGATGTTATCTGTATTAACGTAAAGATTAGTACATACTGTAAATCAATGTCAATATGATCTAAACCAACGCATTAGTGTTCAACTCTATGTCCACTATAATACGTGTTTGTATTCAATGATTGCATCACTGGTATTACAGTTACGGTTATATAATAGGCGTGCACTACATAAACCGCTAATTCAGTCATTGTTTAGCCACTTGAATGCGCAATGTTAGTGTCACCTTGGTATGTTTATATGCACAGTATTGTCCAGTATTTGCACAATAAGTGTGACCAATGGTGTCACATATACTTACTGTAGTGACCAAAGTGTGCAAACGGAGTGCACTTTTGCCTCCAGTGTATGACTCACTGCTTGCATAGCCTAACCATACGTGTGGTGTCCATAGATGGCATACATCACAACCACTGCTACCATGCATCCACTGTTGTGTACGTCTCTTATGTGTTGTGCCACTCGATGGCAGCTATAGGTGTGGCTGTAATAGAAGGCAAACACTACTGCTGTTTGACATTGTGTTGAATACAGTGCACACCTATTGGCGTAAACATTGCTTACAGTTACTCATAAATCGTATTCAATACACCGCTATTACAGTGTGCCATACAGTGTGCCATACAGTGTGCCATACAGTACTGCATTACAGTTAATACTAACCACACGACATTCAAATAGACATACAGTTTGCTAAAACAGTACTACACTGTAAGCAGTGAATAGTCTAACTGTAAGAGTAGTGTTGAGTATCGAGTGAAACACAATAAGTGCAGCGAATGTAAGCCAATATGAGTTTGACTTATGTTTTGGTGATTGCAGTGAAAGCATTCAATCATCAATTCATAGCTTATTTGTTGTTGTATTCACTGAATATCATTACCATTACAGACACCACACACACGACAACGATGTCCAACAAATACATCCAAAACAATGCGTCCACCCTTTGGATGGGAGATGTAAGTGACCGCTGATGACATGAATGTCACTATTGTTTGTTTGTTTACCATTTCATTGATCACTAACTGATGGTTAGATCGAAGAGGGTATGGACGAGAGGTTCATAAAGACCTCGTTTAACCTCATGAGTCAAGACC